TGAGCTTGTACACATTTAAGAACTAAGATCTCATCAAATTGTATATATTTTCTTATGTTTGAATTTTCCAATATATCTATATTTTTATATGCTGAACAAGTTGAACAATGTTCATACAATGCAAATTATAATATTTTATGTTTTGGACATTAAGTGTTGCACGTGGTGTATTAAAAAAAAAAAAATTGATTATAACTCTTGTAACCCGTAACAAAAATTATAAAATCGTATGTTTTTTATTTAATATCTACAAACATCTCTTTCTCACATGATTTCACGGGAATCTAGCTTTTTACTTAATATATAGAGATGGTAACGGGGCGGGGTGCCACTCCCCCACCCCGTCCCGCCCCTTTTGTAATTAATTATTTTTTTTATTCTTCACGAGGCGGGATCGGGGTGCTTCGGGACGAGGCACCCCCTCCCCTCCCCGCCCTGCCTCGCCAACCCGTCGGAGCGGGTTTTTTTCGCCCCATTCGAGGCGGGACGGGGATTTTTTTGCCATCACTATCAATATACCTAAAAGTACTTATAACTTGCCTTCTTTCTGAAGCAATTCAACAATCATATTTACTCATTTATTTCAAATTATAATCCACCGTCTCTATACATTTCTTAAAATAATGATGTATCAAATAATCCAACTTCTAAGCCAACTATTTTTTCTTATTTAAGAATCGCTTTATTCTACAAACAATTGAGAGATTGTGAAAAAGAGATTAATACGGAATTCTATTTCAGGTGATAACTTGTTTAATTTAACTTATGAAGTCAAATCATTACGCATCGAGAAAAATATTTTAAAAAATCAACATCTTACCAAATCCATCAATCATCCCGCTGTCATAAGAAATATGAGAAATTTAAATATTAATATACGAACTTATACATCAACTTTTTTGACCATTGCCAACATAAAAAGCTCAATAATTGAATTAAAAGTTCAAATGCTTTTGGCAAACCCTTTTTACATTACTAACGTTTTCGACAATTCTTTTGCACTAAGCAAACCAATTTCTATCTTTTTGAGGGTTGTGATATGATGAATTCATAATTAAAAGAAGAATTACTTTCTTTTGGTCCAATATGTCACGAAAAACTCCTACATTGAGTGCCTCGTGTATGTATGTGCACCATTCTAACAATCTAGAATTCATCAATTAATCCTTTATTTTTGTTAAGATAGGATACTTTATACCTTTGTTTAAAATTGATCTTTGATGAGAAGTCCTTTCTTGTGTAGGACCTGACATAGTTACTCTAATAATCTACCTAAATTTTAGAAGAATCGAGATGCACCATGTGTTGAAAAACGATGGAGTTTTAAGTTGTTAATGCGGGCTAAATTGATGCAGTATATATGGTTTAGAGTTATTTTATTTTTGAAATTTGTTTCCTCGTCATTTTTTATGTGAAAGTTCACTCCTATAAAATGCGCAATCAATAGTTGGAAGTATGAAAAAAAAATCCTTAAACGACTATATATGCAAATTTGAAAAGTTCGAATGTCATTTTGTTACAACTTCTTCACAATTATGGTTAATAACCTTCACAAATATGGTTAATGGAAATATAAGATTATATTAAGAATATTGAAAAATATACCTTTAAATTAAAGTGCAGTGAACCGAACTTTAATTATTGCATATATATATATATGTGTGTGTGTGTGTGTAACTTGATTTAAAGATGAGATTGAAGTGAAAATCTATTTGTAGTGTAGGAACTAAAGTCACCAAAACTGTGCTCAATGTTCCAATTTTGTTGCATTGGACCTTTCACTAGTATAGATCTTGGTATCAATCACAAGATTTAGATAATACATCTTAACTCTCATTTGACGATATGTTTGAACAAAAATACAAGTGACCTACTATCAACAAATTACTATAACCGTACGACAAAATATGTCAAATAAGTATACTAACTCGCCCCCACTTTTTTTTTCTAAGGCCCCGTTTGATACACAACATTTTTCATGAAATTTTTTTCCATTTTCCAAGTTTTGTAGTGTTTGATAGGAAAAATTTCCCCCGGAATTCGTTTTCCACCTTCCACTCTCACGCGCCTGTTTTCTTGGTTTTCAAGGAATTCATTTTATTTTGGTTTTGGTGGTAATTGATTTTTCAGCTC